CTTTTACAGTTAAATAAAATAAAATGTTTCAAATAATTCAAATAGTTTTTAATATATTTAATTAAAACAATTTTTTAATGAAAATGTTTTAATAAGAATTAAATTGAATTGAATATGGTTATAATTAAGTCTGGAGTTTTAAAGTAAAAGTATATCAAAAACGTGTACTTTTCAATTAATTCACGATAAAAATAAATACTTGGAATTAATTACACTTTAGATTTAAAATTAAAATGTTTGCAAAATATTTACTCAGTTTATGAAACGTTAAATATTTATTTTAACGAATCCTCAGTTATGCTTATTTTGCAATGCATTTCAAAGTAAATAAAACATTAATACTTTGTTACATAAAACTCTTATCTAATATTGAAATACAATAAACAGAATTGATTTAAAATAAATAAAAATGTATCAAATTATATGGAATAAGAATGGTCAAACATTAAAACCTTTCTGTATACAGGTTTTGTATTGCAAGATTGTAAACACATAGTGTTGCCAAAAATATTTTGGCAATTCCTGGATTTTTATGGACTACACCTTTATTAAAATTTTAATTTACTGCGCTTTAGTATAGCTTTAGATGCTATTATAAGCACCCAAAGTTTGGATCCCAAACAATATGAATCATGCAAATAATCACACCTATAAAAGTGCATATAATTATAGTTGCAAGTCTACAACCCCTGTCACAACCCTCACACCCCCGCCCACACCTATTCACTCACTTCACTGTCAATATAATTGTTTTCAAAGTTTCAAAAGTTTTAAAGCAATTGTTGAAAGTAATAAAGTATTGTATAATATTAACTTAAAACTATTATTATCGCCTTTTAGGGTAAAAAAGTATTGTTACTAATGTATTCACTAACTATCATTCACAGTATGGAAACTAGTGTAGCATAGAGAATAACTCCTAGTTAAGCACACTCTTATAGTGTTTAAGCGAGACATCAATGCTTTCGCTTTTATCTGATATAATAACTATGTTTTCCTTTGAATTTAAATGAAATTTCTTCGGCGTTATAACTATTGGCGAGTTTTCACATCTATTTCAATACAAATTACAATATAATTAATTCAAAACATTAATCGCATAAACATTTCATTATATAATAAATAATTTAAATAAACGTTACGTAATGTTAGAGAAAAATATCGCTAACTTGTAATCAATCAAAAGATAAGCGAAAGTTTTTTTTGTAAACTTTTTTCATTCATTGATAGATATATTAAATGTTTCAATAATTAGTGGAAATTATTTTTTAGTCTAAATATTAGTTTTAAGACAAACTTAATGTCAATTAAAGAAAAATGAAAAAACTATAACAAAATGAATGAATAGATAAGAGGGGAAAGACTTACTTGTATTGAGAAGTTATCAACAAAATTAAGAAATAAATAATTTGTTTGAAATTCATTTCCATTTCTAGTTATTAATGAGATTTTCATTTGAATTTCAATAAATATTTCATTGAAAATGAAGACTCAGTTAATTGTCAATCAATTGAAACGATTATGTAATTAATAAATGAGATTCAATGCGAGAAATATAACGAAATGAATAAATGTTTTGCAAAACTCTTTTGGCTATACTTTGTTTGGAAAGACACAAAACAAACGCTAATTAACGATAACTTTCTATAAGTTATGTTTGAATGCATTCACAAAACGCAATACAAAATTGAATTGAAGGCAAAATTTATGCGCATTTAAGCAGTCATTCAATTGGTGTCCACTAATTGGTGGTGTATTTGAGGCACACATTCAGCCCTCAATTGATACACATTTTGTCATTCAATTAACTGATGATTAGTTTTATAACAAATGCTTCGGACGTCTGAAACACATTATATGCACGAAAACATTGACTGCATTTGAGCACAACATTCAACTCAACTCTCGGTTTTGCATCTGATCTTCACTTCTCAATGCACAGGGATTTCCACTCAATTGCTGAACAAAACACACATTACTGTACTTTAGTGTACTTTATAGCGATAGTGAATGGTATACGAGTTGTACAGACAGTGCTCTCTATTTCATACACGATTGCAATGCAATGCACAGTAGAGTACGCTTACAGTACACACCGTATCGCACAATACATGCATAGGCTATGCATAGCGATGACGATTCTGTGCCACACTTTTTCACATGACATTAATCCTATGCTTTGCTTCAATTCAAAAAGTTTTATGAATTTTAATGCATTAGAAATAAAAGTCAATAAATGTTTCACACAATTAGTTGCCATTTGTTTTACACACCATTAATGACAACCCGTTTCGTAGCGATTGGTTTGAAACCTATTTATTTGTTTAGACAAACATTGCTATAAACGCTGTAAATGTTGGCAAAACTGATTGATTTGTCAGTATATTTGCCATCAAATCAATGCACTCATAGTTGTTGTCAAATGTAATACCATTTCATAGGAAATGAATGGGAATTCAATGAATGCAAACATTTCTCACTAATGAAATTGAATACTGAATTGAACGCGTGATTTAGAAAAACAACATATTTCTCAAACCATTAGCCATTTGTTGTGCAAAAAGTTGTTTCCCATAAGTTTAATAACAAAATATATTTATTCATTCAAAACAGCGTTCAATTGAATACAAGAATATTCAATAAAAACCAATTCTGTGTTCAATTGTAGGCAAAAAGTATGGATTGAAATATTGTGGACGTAATTACGAGACGAACCCTTAGATGCGTGACTAGTCTTCAGGCTTTCCGTTTCCGTTGAAAACAAATCAATTGATTGTCTCTTTCATTGTCACCACTTATTGCCATCAAATGGTAAGTAGTAGTGGTGTTGTCCACCTCTGGATGTACTCATGTGCTTATTGTGTCTGTCATTGTCTTTGTAGAGGCCGTACGCACTGCACGGTCACGAGAGGGCCATCACTCAGATCAAGTACAACCGAGAGGGGGATCTGTTGTTCTCGTCGTCCAAAGACAGTACACCCAACGTGTGGTACACTATAAATGGCGAGCGTTTGGGCACTTTTGACGGCCACAACGGCGCCGTCTGGTCTATCGATCCCAATTGGGACACCACGAGAGTGGTCACCGGCGGCGGTGACTCGACTTTACGCGTTTGGGACACTGAGACCGGCAAAGAGTTGAACACTATTAAGACCCACACGAGTGTGCGGTCGTGTAGTTTCTCGTATTGCGGCAAATTGATCCTTTACACCACCGATCAGGCCATGAAAATGATGCCCGAACTCCATGTGATCGACACGACCAGCGGTGAGCACATGCAGGGACTCTCCACTGTCATGTCCATCAAAGAGCTGGGAATGACTAAAGTGACGTCCAGTCTGTGGGGACCGTTGGACGAGTCGATCATCACTGGCCACGAAAGCGGACATATTGTCAATTGGGATGTCAGGAAACCTAAGAATAAGCTGAAGGATGTGTTCGTTCATAAATATCAAATCAATGATCTTCAGTATAACAAAGACCAGACTTTATTTATCTCTGCGTCCAAAGACAACACCGCAAAGGTTTGCTTTACTTTACTTTAAGACATTGCATAACTCTTAGACTAAATGTTGTCTTAATTTGTTGGATCAGTTGTTTGACACGAACACATTGGAACACATCAAGACATATAAAACTGAACGACCGGTTAATTCGGCGGCCATTTCGCCGATCAGAGACCACGTGGTGTTGGGCGGCGGTCAGGAGGCGATGGAAGTGACGACAACGTCGGCGCGTTCGGGCAAATTCGAGGCCAGATTTTACCACTTGATCTTCGAGGAAGAGTTCGGTCGAGTGAAGGGTCACTTCGGTCCCATCCAATCGGTGGCCTTCCATCCCGACGGCAAGAGTTTCAGCAGCGGTGGTGAAGACGGTTACGTCCGCATCCAGTCCTTTGATTCTCCATATTATGACTTCAAGATTGAGTGTTAATTTGATTTAGTTTTATATTTATATAATTAATTGCTTTCGGTTCTGATTGACTATAATTTGTAAACTCGTGTCAAGAATTCAATTATTGTTGAGTTTAAGAGTTTTTTTTAATAAAAAGTATTTTTTCACAATTTAATGGACAAAATGTGAAATTAAACTCAATGTGAAATGTCTACTGTATTTGACAATTGTTTGCGGGTTTGTATTCAATATACACTTTAAGACAATAAGTTTGTTTCAAAGTTTAGCAACGGATGGAGAGAAACAGGACAACAACCAATGATTTATTAATGACAGTATTATTACCGCACAAACTGTTGTGAAGTAAATGCATGGCAACTAATTTGAAGCTCCAGAGCATTGATTACCATTATGTGGTCATTCATACTTCGGATTCAATACAATAATTAATTAGAAATGATGTAAAAAATGATAAAATGAACGATTTATTAGTAATCAATTAATTTTTCTATAAATACAACGAATTGTTGAATACATATCACAGAATATTCTGTAGTTTTAAAACGATTGATGGATTAAATCGGATCCGAAATCCAAACCTGAAAAATCTATGGCATATATTGATATGGGATTTAAAGGCTTGGGATATAAATTCATTATTAATTAACTGTTTTTTGTTTTTGTTGCACACATTGAATGCATTTCAAAAAATACTCATTAAATTAAATTTTGAGTTTTAAATACGAAACGAAAGGGAAAAATGAATTTTAAATTCAATACAAAAAAATTGTCAAATCCTTTGATTGCATAGAAGAAGAGGAAGAATAAGGAAAGGAATATAAGAGCAAAACATATAATTATCATTACTTTTATATAACAATTAATAAATATATCTTTGATATAAATATATATTAAATTATTTTTGTGTTTTACAAATGAAAGAGACATTTGATTGCAAAGACAGGTCTCTGTATTACAAGTAGTGATGGTTTGTATTGGCGTTGCATTGAGTGTCCGAAGAGTAGTTGTGCTCACAATTGGAGACAAACAACGAGAAGATACAGTTTCCGAGACCACTGAAGCAGAGGAGGAATACGGCCACAGCGAACACTAGGGAACAGATGGTACACGGCTTGCGCTCCAAGACATAGCCGATCAGATACAGCACCACAAGCATCACGTGGTTCTGCACCAGAGTTGCGTTCATCGGCTTCGGGATCAACAGCACCGGTATTAACCACTGAAGACAATACATCTTCGCCTTCTTCCGCACTGAGAAGCACCAAAACACACACAGACTGTCTGTCTCTGTCTTGGGATCAGTTACTGACACGGATTGTAATCTTTTTGGTCGGATCTCTTGCGTCACGTGTAATGCGATTATCAATGAGTGAAATGAGACAATGGTTTCAAACGTGAGACAAATAAATCATTTTCGCAATCAATAAGTGATTAATGAATTAAATGGCAATAAATGGCAACAAATGAATGAAACACTCATTGAATGGAAACAAAAACAATAAAACCATTCAAACCATTGAAGCGCTCAATAGATGGCAGTCTTTGCCATTGTTTTCGCCACAAATTGCCTCTCATTTCGGGTGACAATCGCTCACAACTGATGATCAGTTGATCCCAAGAGTTGTGTCTCATATCTGTGACCGGAAAGCACGCCATCGAAGACATCGACGACAATGTTTGGCTTAGAAGAGGCGGGAATTCCGGGCAAAGAATATCTTCGCGATTCGCTGACCAATTGTTCGGATCCGTTGAAAGCGATCGAAGACTTCCAGACAGAGAATGGTATTCTTCTGCCGTCATTGCGACCAATGCTTCCGTTGCTTGACTTGCATGGAGTGAAACGACAGGACTTCCACTTCTCAGTGCTCGAAGAGTTGCGCGAAAAGCTGATCATTCGTATCGACGATATGAACAAATTGGAGACCAAAGAGCGCGAGAAGAAGTTGAAAGAGTTGTTGAATAAGAGCTTTCCGTTGATTCGCGTGCCGTCACTACAGCCCGTCGTTATGGCTATTATGAAGAACTTGGATATCGTTGAAGACAAATACCTGAACCAATTGGTGGCCGACAAGAGTCTGTACGAGAAGTGCGACGTTTCGGTGAAGCGCCAGATATGGCAACAGCACCCGACCCTCTTCGGCGACGAGGTCTCACCCATTCTCAGCCAATACATCAAAGAGGTTAGTCATCGCCATTCACGCCAACTGTCCATTTGTCTCAATACCTATTCTGTCTATTCCTGTGGTCGCCACAGAAAGAGTCCCTATTCTTCAACTTTAAGGACACAAACAAAACGTTTTATGTGTTGACACCGAAAGTCCGGCGACAGAACCCTATAATCCAAACGTTGGTCAAAATGGTCGGCAAGAATGTCCTCCTTTACGATACGATTCTGCAATTCTTGCGGACACTCTTCTTGCGGACGAAGAATGTCCACTACTGTACGCTTCGAGTGGCGCTTCTCATGGCGTTACACGATTGCGAAGTGCAAGACATCACTGGAATGGATCCGTGCCATAAGTTTGGCTGGTGTTTGGACGCGTGTATTCGGGAACAGAATGTGGACCCGAAGCGGTCCCGAGAGCTACAGGGCTTCCTGGAGGGCGTCCGCAGAGGACAGGAGCACGTGTTGGGCGACATATCGATGACTCTATGCGATCCGTATGCCATCAACTTCTTGGCGCTGTCGTGCACGAAGATCATCAACCATCACATCCAGAACGAGAGTCTCGCCCGAGAGAATCACGTTCTCATGCTTTTGCTACGAATGCTGAACTTAGGTCTTCACAGTTGGGATGTACTCAACTCACAGGTCTTCCGTGAGCCGCGTCTCGAACCCGATCTCATCACCAAATTTGTTCCGATTCTCATGTCTTTCATAGTCGACGATCAGGTGAGGAATGTTAACGCAAAGCTTCCGCCCGACGACCGCGAGTCGGCGCTCGCCATCATTGAACACTCGGGTCCTCCGCCCGACTCATATCAACAGTTCATCTCTGAGGACAGATTGGCCTCAATTTTGGCCATTTATTACACTTTACAAGTGACTAAACAAAAGGACAAACAGGCAGTGATGCGAGTGTTGGGAACTCTGGCCGCCTCTCACGACAACCGAGCGCTCGACGACCAATACTTACATATTTTGGTCAATAATCTGATATCAATGGCCGAAGACTTTTCGAGCGAAGAGTTTTGCGCCGTAGTGTTGGATGAGGTGTTTATACCGGCGCTCACTTACGGCAATGTTGTCCACCATATGATGAAACTGTTGTCTCACACGTATCAACACATCCCAAAGCAAAGGCTGGAAAATACAATCAAAATTCTCGAGTCCTTCTCATATCATAACGAAAACAGTAAAACACTTTTCACAGAATTGCAAACAAAAGTCACGGAATTCCTGACGAGAGTCGAGACAACGCCTCAACAGTCGTCCCAAAACAGCTAAGCCTTGGAGTGAAACGATTTATTCTTTGTATACAAAATCACGTTTCTTTCAAATATATAATTAATATTTAATTTTTTAAATAAAATGATTGCAAAATCCTTTTGACAATATTCTGTATATATTATGTTTGGATGACATTTCGATTTGAATTAAAACATTGATTGTATGAATTTGACCATTAATTTGGTGGTCCCTTCTCCTGGCGTTGCTGTGACTGCACCACCATTTGCAAGGCGTGGGCCAAGTCTTGACCGGCAAAGTTGCAGAGCTCACAATAGCCGGGCGGTCCAACCGGTCCTTTAGTTTAATACTCAATGTTTAGTCATTTCATTGCAAATGAACACAAATACCTGGCGTTCCGGGGATTCCTTGTTGTCCCGCTCTTCCCTGTTGTCCTCTCTCGCCCTGAGGTCCAGGAAGTCCTATACCTGTGGGTCCGGGAAGTCCTGTAGGTCCGGACGGACCCTTTATATAAAATGAGTTATATATAATGTACAGTACATATTTAAATAATCATAAATGTGTGTCTTATTACCGGGTGTCCCGTCTCTCCCTCTTCCCCTCTCTCCCCTTTCATCCCTTGGTCTCCTTTCTCTCCTTTCGGTCCTTGGATTCCCTGAGAGCCGGGAACGCCTTTAAACACAATTTATTATTTTACAAATATATCAAATTAAATAATTTTCATATTAGAATACCTGGTAATCCAATGAATCCTATATTTTATGTGAAATAAATAATATTCACATTAAATAATAGTGATTATAAAGTATATCGATTTTATCGTTACCTCTTTCCCCTTGAAGTCCCTGTAGACCAGGTTCTCCCTGCGGTCCTGTAATCATTAAATATAAGTTTAATCATTGAATTATAGGTGCATATATTGGGTATGAGTTTATTTAATGCGAAAATCTCAGAGTAAAATGAAAATTATTTTTTATTAATAACCAAAATAGTAATTCAGAATTTATATCGGCCATCATTTTTGTCAACTATTGACCTTC